ATGAAATTTAAGATTTCGACAACAATAAACATGTTCCCACTCTGGCAACATTATAAGCTGCGTTTTCATGGAGCATCATGTTTCGGAATTTGAATTTGCGCATCAGAAAAAGTCTAACACTCTGGAAACATGCAAACTTCGAATAAATCACAGATCATGATGAGGAGGCTCTTCTGTTTCTATGATTTTAAATCTGACTTCTGGGTGTATTATTTTGAACTGTATGTTTTTAAAATGTGAAGCGCTTTGTGATCCTGGACAGTGAAAGGGTCTATACAAATATACAAATACACTTTACATGACAGGGATGTGTGACCCAGCTATTGCTGTGGCAGGCTCTGCGCTGCGTAATTACGCACGGCTATCTGTATTCCTCATTCACATCTGGTAAAACAATGTATGTTTTCATTAGATTTGTGTAAGCCTCACACAGACACACATCCCATTAACACATGGACCGATGAACTATGGTATTGCTCACTCCAAATGTCTCACTGCCCTGTCCACTCGCTGCACACTCTTGGGAGTGCATCCACAGCAGGTGCCATGAGAGACGCGCCACATAACTCCTCAAATGCTGTCATTCAGAAGTTTTGGCTTCAGAGTTTCTCTGTAAAATCTGGACCGCAAACGCTCTCGCAAGTGCACAGCGCATCAGTGCATTCACAAGACGCTGCAGACGCTTCATTGATGAGAGCCACCGCTGCACAATATGAATTCATTCATTAATTCATTCATTCTTTATTTATTCACTTCTATCAAAACCTTTCTGCAAATATATTCAAAACGCAGCTGAATAAATAGCGTATATTTATTTTTACATATACATGAACAACCTGTGGCAGACCCTGCGCCGTATACGTAATTACGCATATGTTTTGCCTCATTCACCTCTGGCAAAGCAATGTGGGTTTTCCTTAGTTTTGTGCATAAAGCCCCATAAACGCACCTGATCTTGCTCAAAACTGTCTCAGGCACTGCCCTTTACTCCGCAGAGCAGAGATAGGATGCGACGCGCACCAGCAGTATAGTTCATTCATTCATTCAGGTAATTTATTATTTATTTATTTACGTTGAAATTTCAGGAGAGATGAGTGCTGCAGTGGGTCTAGACACTAGGGAAAAAGTGTATATTTAATATAGAGTATATTTATTTTTTTTAAACGTGAATAAACTCAAAAGTGCGTGCTTTTTGCGGCTTCTTAGCCGACTTCCTGCTGACCTGTCGCAAAAACAGGGCGTGGAACAGGCAGTCTTTGAATATTTCCAGGCGTGACTTTCATAAATACGCTAGTTTTGAGCGTGGCATTTATCAACAGCCGCAGGTGCGTACGCTCAGATCTGTGCGTATCTCACACGTTCATAAATGCCACGTCAGATCTTGCGTATCTGGGATCTACACCCAAAATGTACACCTTTTTCTGCGCAATTTTCATACATGAGGCCCAATGTCCGCGGGTAAACTCCATACAGTCCCGTCCTGTCTCCATCTTTGCTTTACCGGGGGTTTGCCGTGAGCACCTGATGGGTTCATCAATTCACAGCTCTCTTAGCAGTTCCACACCTTCACCGGGCCGTCACCACACGAGTAGAAGGACATAGTCTGCAACGATCACCATCAATCCACAGGAAAAGCTCTTAGCAGCTTTAGCTGAATTAATGAAGGCTCGCAACAGATGTTAGTGCCCATTTTCCGTTTAAGTCATTGCACAAATTCACCGTAAGAACTAAAAACCATGAATACATTGAATCCGTTGAGGAGATGAACCACCTCCTCAGCGGCTTGCAATGAACGAAAAGATACTCCAGAGCAGGAGAACAGTTTTTGGAGATCACTGTCACATCGCTTCACAAAAGAAAACCCCTTGACATGAGTCATCTCATTTTCGAGGGGGTCCTAAACATAAATACCAACATATAAACAAACACACATACACAATAACAATTTACAGCAAATTAAATACGAGAAAAGTTAATTAAACAAACACAAAAAAATAACAATAAAAAATGATAAAAAATATTAAATGAAACAAATGCTCCTTTGCACTCCACTCCACCCTCTGCTAAAATTAAACATTTATAAAAGGACAAAGAAAAACTATTGATAATGACACAGAACACAGAACATTAGTGACGTGTTCTGTATGGATGCCGTTCTGCCGTATGGATGTGGGGAGTTTTTTCCAGTCTGATGGAGCCTTGTACTGAAAGGATCTGCGACCAACTTCTTTACAAACTTTTTGCAGTGTCTGTTTTTGTGCTGTGTGGTTTTGCAGTGTGTGTGTTTATACAGTGTGTGTATTTGTGCTGTGTGTTTTTGCAGTGTACGTTTTTGTGCTGTGTGTTTTGCAGTAAATATTTTTTGTAGTGTGTGTTTTCTGCAGTGTGGCAGGTGTTTTTGCAGTGTGCATTTTTGTGCTGTGTGTTTTTACTGTGAGTATTTTTTTGCAGTTTGTGTTTGCTGTGTGTTTTTCCAGTGTGTGTTTTAGCAGTGTTTGTTTTTGCATTGTCTGTTTACTGCAGTGTGTGGTTTTGCAGTGCGTTTTTTTTTTGCAGCGAGGCAGGTGTGGTTTTGCATTGTCTGTTTTCTGCAGTGTGTGTTTTTGGCAGCGTCTTCTGGCTCTATTTGTTAGGTTGTATTTATTTCAATAGAGGGCTCCACATGCACGCATATACGCACACACACATACATATATATACGCACACATAAAAACACGCGTGTACACTTGTTCACATACTAAAAAATACACACACAAATACGTGCACACATGCATACACGCACGTACGTGTACACGTACACACACGCACACGTACACACACAGACACACACGCACACACACACACACAAATATACACGCATTCACTCATACACACATAATTGATGTAATTTTGTGTTTGTATTTGTATGGATGCTTTACTGCTGCTGGACAGAGGAATTACTCCTACGTGGATCAATAAAGTACACGTGCACGTACACACATTCACACTTACACACGTGCATATGGGACTTGTTTGTAATTGTATTCCGTGGAAAAGATACATAAAAAAAGATTTTTGCTCCGTTTTTGCAGCTCCAGACATTTTTTTTTTTTTTTTTTGGTGGAACAGGACGCAAAAGCAGTTGAAGTAAATTCATATTTTCAAACCCCCAATAGATGGCGCCACATACCCTGAGCAGTGAGAGGATCTGTCCTGATACACACGTGGATACATACTGTGGATACATGTCAGAATACATTGAATTAACAGTTTAATTGTTAATACACACACACACACATATATAAACTATTCTGATTCTGAGGGTCTCCCATCGGAGCCTCTCCACTCTGGGGAGAAGAACAAACATCCATGGATTTGTCCATTTATCCTGAATTTTTGAGCTGTTTGAGGGGACCTGCTGTTCATGGGAGGACGCCACAATAATGATTCATTTATGCTAGCATTAGACTGATCAAGTTAAAAGGATGGATGTCTGCACACAAACAGCCTCATGTTTAACATTTTCTGTCAAGGTTTCTTTGTTAAACGCTGTAGAAGAGCACACTCCTGCAATATCATAGGTGACATCAGAATCCAGTGATCCAGGATAAATAAAGTATCTATATATGTATATTTCTAAATGTTTAATGTTAGTCTCTTTTATTCTAGTCTTAGAGTTGAAATACTTGATCAACACCAAGTCATGTTAAAGCCACCGAGCGTCTCTCTTTCTCTCTGTGTGTGTGTGTGTGTGTCCTGTAAATTATGTCACTTATGATTATGTCACTAGTCAAGTCAGCCGTGCTTTTTTCGATTAGTCAAACTGTCAAAGCATTATTATCAGTTGTTTGGTTGGTGAATGTCCTGTCCATGTTGTGTCATGTTTTTCATCTGATGCATTCACTTTTAAATACATCACAGAAAACATATGTGAAAACATCACATCACATCAACTTCATATTGTTAGAAAGCATTTATCTTGTGTATATGTGCAAGAAATACATTTGTGAGTCAATAGATGACTCTTTGGGCTGAATGCTGTTTGGCTGAACAATGCCGGTCCTCTCTACTTCACTTTCCTGCATGTCTGAAAAAGCTCTAAAGATATAGAAGAGGCCAAACACATTTGAAGCCACTGGTTATAATGAGTTTGACATTGAGACACCTTTTGCTCTTTGAGAACCAGGTAGACCAGATTGACTGTTAACTATTATTTGAAAATAGTATCAGAGACCAGGTTAAACAGATGGGATCCATTAGTAATGAAGTAATAAATGCAGGTTTAATACTAGGACTCCTAGAATTCTGAAACTATAGACTCCCAGAACAGGAATTTTGATGGCTCTCAAATAATAATCAAATAATAAATCCAATCGATGGAATTCTGAAAACATTACAAACAATTAAAAAGTCTCAAATACGTGTTAAAGCCGGTTAATATAAATTAAATACGACAAAACCAAATTCTAACTGCTGCAAGTAAACAGTGAATTGCTATGGCAACATGCCATTCAAGGATCGTGCTGAATTTACATTTCGATTTAGAAAAAGTCACAGTTTTGAAGACATGTACATAAATTGAGTAATTACGCCTCCAACACAAAAATCCGTCAAAGTGACCGCTCTGAGATTTCTAGTGTTAAATCAGCTAGGAGCATGTTGTTGTTGAAGTGGTTCCAAATGCCGACATCAGCAGAGTACGGCATCTTTACGCACGGCTCTCCGCGGCAGGGCTCTCTCCCTGCGCTCTGAAGCACCACGCTCCAGCAGTAGCAGCAGCAGCAGCAGCAGCAGCAGCATCACTATCCCCAGACACAAGCGAGAACCCGGACCTGCCTCCACCAGGGGCTAAGTGTGCGTTCCTCTCGGATCTCGGAGTGTATGTTTTCTGTGGATGCGTTTGGTTCGTTGCTCTTTTCGATGGATTTGTGCGCGCAGAGAGGTCTCGTGCTAGGATTAAACGGCTCCTAAATCACTTTGTGAGTTTGACATCGGCTTGTGTCGCGCACGGAGCAGACACCATGGTGCTGGCGGGTCTGTCTACTGGATTCACGCTTTTAGGTGAGTTTTAAGTCCAGCTTCAGGAGGCGGAGAGAGTCAGAAAGGAGAGCGTGTATGAATAAAACTAAGACATGTTTACTTTGTGCCATTGTTGAGACTTAAACAGGGCTGGATCTGAAACCAGGTCTGTGTTCGGGACCGTATTTATATTTAAATCATGAGATGTCAGCGCGCAACTACAGCTAGGACCTCGACTCCAAACATCTGGAGCTGAGGAAGATGATGACTGACTTCCTCACTATTTCACTATGGATTTTAAAACTAGTTAAAATATAATACGAGTAACCATTGACTAGCAATGAACAAACTGGGTCTAAAACAGCGACAGGGTTGTGCACAATCACTACATGAAATCCTGGGATTCAATTCAATTTAATTTATTTTTTTATATTCCTAAATCACAACAGTAATTACCTTGGAGAACTTATCACAGCAGTCGATTCAAACACAAGAAATGCAATGATTAAAAACTCACGACCTATGTTGGTGATTTCAATGGTTTTGTTAAGTCCTCTGAGATGACTTCTGTTGTGACCTAGGGCTATACAAGAATACATTGTATTGTATTGTGTTGTATTGTATGTCCATAAATGTTCATGAAGTCTATAAATGTCGTTGAATGTCCAGTGTCCTGGATCCTCACCACTGTCCTTACACTCTTTTGCATTGGAAAGGAACTTGTTTATAAGGGATTAGAATGAAAATATCACCGGTGAATACGGACTCGGATTAGGTCTAAAAATACGTTTATTCAAATGTAAAATTATCGTGGGACCTGCACCAAGCCTGCATAGTCTCAAGGTTCGTTCCGATAAATCCAACTTTAGTCTTTTTATTTATTTATTTTTTAAATCAATTAAACAGGCGCGGAGTAGAGTCACTAACGGGAATAAGAAACGGCAACACAAATACCACACACGCACGCACAACGCACGCGCACACATATACACACACACACACACACACGCACACACATCATACAATGTCAACGCGGCGGTGGGGTTGAGGCTTGTGCGCGTTGTCCACTTTGTGTTTGACGCAAAAGTGCCGAGCCAGAGCGACCCGTGCCAGAGCGACCTGTGCCAAGACTAGCCCAACAGGCCGACAGCCCGCGCAATGTGGCCAAAGGAAACACGTCAAAGATACCGTCTTAAGTGTAATTGTATGCGGCTAATGACAAGCTTAAACAAAAAGTGATGAGAAAATTTGTCAAAATGTATCTTAATTAGAAGACATTTTGAGTGCCTTCAAATAAGATTTACCAATGGGACAATAGAGATACAAGATACAAGAAATGTCTCCCTTGGATTGAGAAGATAAAGAAACCGTTCTTGAGATAAGACTAAATGGCTTTGTCCCGTAGGCAAACAAATGTTTTGATTGAGTTTGGTGATGATCCATGACACTCTGAACATTTCTACAATATTTATGGACATTTATCAACATTCATGGACATTGGTCAACTCCCTATGGACCAATATCTATGTGTTCTATTTTTTTTGTATCTTTAACTGTTGATTCTCTGATCTGTGTTGACGATTTCAACGGTTTTGTTAAGTCCTCTGAGATGTGATTTAGGGCTATTCAAGAATACATTGAATTGAATTGAAATTAAAAAAGTCAGAATGAACTAAAATTTAAATTAAAAAAGCACTCGATTCAAGAATGTATTACCTGCTATTTTATCATTTATCATTATATCATCTTCTGTCATAAATGTGCAGTTCTTCTGATTAGAATATCCATAATTGTCTTTAAAATGACTGTGTAGGATTGCAGTTCTCTGTGTGTCAGACGATAGATAGAGAGAGGTTTGGTGTGGGGAAAACGGCTGCTAATGAAAAGATAAATGCCGTCTATTTGTTGCATTAGATCCAAGCCAATTACAAATGTCACGTTTGCAAAAATCTTTACCGCGTTACAAGGGGTTTTCAGACCATCCTCTCATTTACACAATCAATGTTTCAGATTGATTCTTGTTTATTTGTGTAATATTCTCTGTCGACGCCGTGGCTCAGACAGCTCCCGTCTCTCCCCTGTTGCCGTCTGTGGTCTGGTACAGCAGTCCGTGGAGGTGATGCGTTCAGAGATCAGAAAAAACCTTTCCACTCCTCAAAATCAATGACAACGATTCCGGCGTCAGGAACAGTGAGCGGCTGACAAAAGCACAGCAGGACGTTTTCTGAAAGTCTGACCTTTCACATGTCACATAAAGCCACATCTTTATCACACGCTATTCTGATCTGGACACAGGAGCACAGATACGGATCCATCAGGGGTCAAAGGGCCATCAGCATCCAACTGCACACATTGTTACCACTCATTATTAGATTACATAAATACATTAATCATTAATAATTACCACAAAACAAACTCACCAAAAGGCTCACATTTTGTGCACTCTGAGACCTCCAGCTTAATTATTTATTTATTCGCCTTCCTTTGTCCAGGAGATGGAGGCTGTGTTGACGGAGATGACGGGGTGTATAACAACTGTGTCATAAAGATGAATCCAGACGAATCCAGATTAATCCAGATCACCTTAGAGCAGTGTACCATATGTGTGAGAGAACAGAGAGAAAAGGGAGGGAGGACAGAAAGGAGCAAAAAGATTGAGGACGGAGAGGAGAGAAAAGAGAGGGAGGACAGAGAGGAGAGAAAAAAGGAGAAAGAGGACAGGGAGGAGTGAGAAGACTGAGGACAGAGAAGAGAGAGAAGACAGGGACGAAAGAAAAAAGAGAGAAGACAGAGAGGACAGAAAGGAGAGAGGACATAGAGGGGAAAAAAGCCAGAGAGGAGAGAGAAGGTGGAGAAGAGTGGACAGAGAGGTGAAAAAGGACAGAGACAGCAGATGACAGACAGATAATACGGTGCAAATATATACATGTTTTCTTGTGGACTTTTTGGAATATGATTTTCAGTGGAGTAAAGTAAACAATCTCCAGCTGAACACTGCAAAAACATGTGAACTTGTCTTTGACTTTAGTCGTAGCAGTTCTCACACTCCTTTTGTTATTGACAACTCCCAGGTGCAGATCGTAGAGGAGTGCAAGTTCCTGGGTTTAACTCTGTCTAACGACCTGAAATGGGTTAAAAACACTGACCGAGTCGTTAAGAAAGCTCGTCAGCGGCTCTTCTTTTTGCGGAAACTTAGAGAATTTACCACTAACTCTAAGATTCTGCTTAACTTTTATCGCTGCACCATTGAGAGTTTACTTGTTGGTTCTGTGTCTGTGTGGTTTGGAAACATCACAGATAAAGAAAAGAGAGCTTCAAACAAGGTGCTCCGCTCTGCAAAGAGGACCGTGGGCTGTGAGCTTCCTGTTCTGGAGGTTCTTTACAAATCCAGACTTTTAAACAAAGCTCTTAAAATCATCAATGACTCTTCTGGCCACCCTGGGAAAGCCATGTTCCAGCTTCTTCCCTCTGGCAGAAGATATCGGTCGCTGAGATGCAAGACATCTCGCTATGCTAACAGCTTCTTTCCACAGGCTGTTAGGTGCCTAAACAGAGCACTTTAATTCCTGCTTTTACCCCTTGTATCGTTTTGTTGATCGGTGCCACAGTGTCAGCTGTTTTTTTTATTATTTTATATTCAGTGTATGTGTATTTTATATTACATTGTATTGTGCTTTTTATTCTGTCGGTGCACACAGAGTACCATTTTTGCAAATGTATTCCAATGTAGTTTTTATACTGCACATGGCCAATAAATGAATCTGAATCTGAATCTGAGAGTGTGTGTGTATATACATACTTTATTGTGTGACCCTATATATATTAGCGTTTCAGCGTGCGTTTTGCATCTTGTTTCTGCACCTTTTGCAGCCTGTTTTGCTATTTTTTACAGCATACTAACTAGTGTACTCTGTGTCCTGATTGGCTAACCCCAGGGTTCAATGGGGCACCCAGAGAAAACCTACACAGACATGGGGAGGACATTCAAAATACACGTAGAAAGCCCTAACCGCTGTGCCACCTTCGCACATCTTCTCCTCCCTCAGCTTGGTTTAATCTCTGCTCATATATTATTCTGAGCCTGAATATCAAAGCCACACTGCGTACAATCTTACAGTATTATAAAGTTGATAATAATTGTAACAATTCTTGGATTTTGTGTTTTGCTTTTTAAAACTGTGACCTCTGGGACAAACAAGGGACCACTCACTGTATTTCAATGTTTCCAATACACTGTACTTTGTTATGCAAAAGAGAAAGACTGAGGCCCAAAAATAGATTGTTAAAAGCCTTGCAAACACATGGCAACTCTCTTCAGAAGCCAACGTGTTTGGTCAGGGTCTTCGTCATGACCTTCTTCAGCGCCTTCATCAAGTCTTCAACCGGGCTCCATCAGGGCCTTCATTTTTGCAGTCTTATCCCTGTTGGCCGACCGCACATGTGACCGGTGGAGCAAATTCACACAACAATTGCCAACAGATTATATGAGGCTATACATCAAAATATGCATGAACAATACACAAACAAGTTAAGACAATGGTCATGTAGAAAAGGAGAGAAATGTAATTCCTTAGTATGACCAAGACATGTAGTCCTTTTTGAGAGTATAGATTGATAGATAGATTGATAGATAGATGCAACAGCCCTTTAGGTCATAGCAGCAGAGATGGTGTAGCCGCTGGGTGGAGCAGGACAGGTCACAGCAGCAGAGGTGGAGTAGCTGCTTGGTTCAGACCATTTTCTCTGCTGTAGTCCAAAGTGAGATGCTGAACACTTTGTTAGTAGTATTCCAAAAGTTAGTATCCCTCTAGTGGATTTTTGCCTGATCCGCTTGTTTCAGACCATGAATCCTCTCCGCTCCGTTCTGGACCAGTGCAAAACCAACACTGTACTGCAGCAACATGTCAGCTGGAAAAAATCCAGACAAATAACAATTGTAAAGCACATAACAACAACTGTTTCAGAGCTACTTAGGACTTGCTGCCGTTTCCAGCGCATTCAAAAGTAAAGTAGATATAGAAGGATTCTCTCTGAAGAAGTAG